TTCAAGAGTTTTCAGCGTAGGAACTATTTCTAAACTTAATCCATTAACTATTCCTGTGGTTGAATAAAAATTAACAAATCAGCTAAAGTAAATTGCGAAATCAATCCTGGAAAACTGCTATAACCCCTCCTTTTTTTAACCCACCTACAATGCGTCAATAACCCCCCCTCCCACTCCCCTTCACAATAATATTAGTAGAAAGCTTTGAATTAATGTTGATGATGTGTCCGCTAGTATATAATTAGTAAATAATCTGTATAATCCATGAAATCACCATCATTTGTTAAATAAATATATGGTTCTATCATGGTGAGGTGTACAAACGGAGGTGGCGGGGGAATTTTAAACAATTCATAAGAAATTATTTAATATCACAATTTCAGAATTTTTCGTTGAAAGCTTTCACATTTTCAAAATTACTGATTTTTCAAAAAAAAATCTTTTTTCAGTGTACAAAGAATCACTATGCAGCGTTGTTTATATACTTTGGAACAGTTTTAAACGTTCTTTTAAAATTTTAAATTTTCCTTTTATCCTTATAATATTGAGGATATTAATATCCATCCTCTCTATATACTTAATACACCTGGGGATCAACCATCCTTTCCGTATACTTAATACACCTGGGGATCAACCATCCTCTCCGTATACTTAGTACACCTGGGGATCAACCATCCTTTCCGTATACTTAATATCACCTGGGGATCAACCATCCTCTCCATATACTTAATACACCTGGGGATCAACCATCCTTTCCGTATACTTAATACACCTGGGGATCAACCATCCTCTCCATATACTTAATACACCTGGGGATCAACCATCCTCTCCATATAATTAATACACCTGAGATGGAATTTAAAGAATTTGAGCCGCTGTTTAAATCCACCAAAATCCTCCAAAACCCAGTTTAAATTCAGCGCCGGCTTAAATCTTGAAACATTTGATACAATTTTTAGTGGAACCAACCATGTTTAAACCGCGGCTTAAATTTAAACCGCCGCTCAAATTCTTTAAATCCGGCTACTGGAGATCCACCATCATCTCCATATACTTAATACATCTGGAGATCCACCATCCTTTCCGTATACTTAATATATCTGGAGATCAACCATCCCCGTATACTTAATATATCTGGAGATCCACCATCCTCTCCATATATTTAATAGATCTGGGGATCAACCATCCTCTCCAAATACTTAATACATCTGGAGATCAACCATCCTCTCCGTATACTTAATATATCTGGGGATCAACCATCCTCTCCATATACTTAATACATCTGGGGATCAACCATCCTTTCCGTATACTTAATATATCTTGAGATCATCTATCTCCGTATACTTAATATATCTTGAGATCAACTCTCCCCGTATACTTAATACATCTGAGGATCAACCAGGCAGAACCAGGAACATCCTGATCAACATTTAACCCATCTTTAACAGTAAATATATAATTTATGCATCCTTCTCTTTCCGTTTCTAATCCGCCATAGTTAGAATAGTCACTGTTAGAATAATTTCCTGTACCCTTCCACGCAAATACGAAAATGCCCGATTCACAATAGTACCCTTAAAAATTTATCTGATGAATAATGTGGAAGATATTGTCGTTTTTCTAGGTTTAAAAGTGATCGAATCTGGATAATTTCTAGAAATACGTCAGTTCCCTTTGTAGAGAACCCACAATCGAAAATAATCAGTTAAAAAAAAAAACATAGATATCTAATTCATACATGATCAGGCACAGCTCTGAAGGGTACTATTGTAAATCGGGCATGGTCAATGGTCATCTTTGCATGAAGTGTCACTTAAAATTACGCTTACACTCCCTTTAGATGAGGCAAAATTGAACCTGTGAAAGCAAAAATAAAAATGGTTTGAAAATGTTCTGGATTACTGCCTGCGCAATACTTTTACAAGGGGACAAGGGAGGGAAAATGGGAAAGGTGAGGAGGGGGGAGTCACTTGGGGGAGGGTAAGTCAAGGGGGGGCTGCTTGTGTAGATGAACTCACAGGAAGTTTGTTCGCTGGACCGGAACTATCTATCTATCATTTTCTATCAGATAGATAGATATATAGAGAGATAGATAGAGAGAAGAGGTATATCTATAGGCAGATAGATGGATAGAACATGAACGGATGAAATGAACAAAAGATAGAAACCTGGTTTTATTTAAATGCCAAATATTTACTGCTTAAATAAATCTGTCTATCTGTCTATCTGTCTATCTGTCTATCTGTCTATCTATCTATCTGTCTATCAGTCTATCTATCTATCTGTCTATCTGTCTATCTGTCTATCTGTCTATCTGTCTATCTGTCTTTCTGTCTATCTGTCAGTCTATCGGTCTATCTATCTATCTGTATATCTGTCTATCTACATGAATAACATCTTTTTGCATGTATCAAAATTTATGTATCTTTGTGTTCGTTAATTTAATAGCTTTGTAAAACAAATATATTTGGATATTTAAAACTTTTCCAACAAAGATTTCACTGTTTAAAGAAAAATTCTCCGAAAAAGTATCAAGCCGCTGAGAACATGAAGGTACCAAACATATTTTTCTTTTTTAAAGATTTACTGGATTACCCAATACCCCCAAAGGATGAGACTGTAAAGACGACCTGAAACTTTCAAAATATGACGAGTTCAAGGTTAAATTAATTAATTGCTTTTAATGTTTTATTTAATTATTTGGCAACAAAAGAAACCAGTTTACAGATGCAAGAGAATGATACATAAAGGGAAATTGACAGTATAAATTCCTTACAGTCATCTCTCACTATAGATTTAGTAGAAGTAAATATTTCCATTTACTGTTGTAGCGCCGATATAAGGATTTATCTTTAATTGGATAATGAGATAGATAGAAAGATAGATGTTACCGCCATGCAATTTCTATTGGTTTAGAATAGACACCAAACACATGGTTGAACCCTGATTGGATCAGGCGCCAATGGACTCGGCATACTATTAGAGTGCTCTGAAGTCTCATCCTTTGTGGGTAACCCTGTACTTGCAATTACGGGTTAGATTTCATTAAGTCTTCTATTTAAGAATGTCGACTTGTAAATTCTACTTTTATTTGTTTTTGTTTTCTTTCTACAAAAGTGACAAATAGGAATTATCAGAATTAAACACTTTTAAATCTATAAAAATGAAAATATTTTCCACATAATTTATCAGGTAAAGGTCTGAAGGCACTGTTGTGAATCGGGCATTGCCATNTTTACTCTCAGACAAATTAGAATCAATGGAAATTTAAACCCCCTCGGGATTCAATGATAAACTCTTGGGCTACATTGTTATATCAATACAACTAAATCACAGTATAAGATTGCCGTCAGGCATTGCCAACCTGCTATATTTCTCAGTTTGTTTGTATGAAGACTCAAAGAAAGATATTGTAAGCGTAAATTGTGATTATCTTTAGCTCAAAATCGAATATTAAAATACATGTGGGAATATTAAACATCCTCTTTTGTGAGAAAAAATCAGTAAGTTAGTAAATTTTAATCACAAACTATCAAAAATCTGCAACGATCCACGCTTTAGAAACAAATTGTACTATCTATAGAACATATTTCATTGATATCGACATTGGCATGAAGTACTCTTTAACAAGATTATATAATCTGCTCGAAAATAACAATACTTTTCCTATTTCTGGAAAACGTCTCAAAATTTTTGATTTTCATAATTTTTCTAACACCTGGATAGTGTACACGGGCAACTACTAAATATTTTAAGATTTTTCTAAAAATTTTGAACAATTTTTTTTTCGGACACCATGCATAGAGTGTACACAGAGTAAACCGCACTAGCAACCATATTGGTTTGTTTGCACAAAGCATAACAAATACACGAGAAATTAATCAACTTCATTAAAGTACTATTCAACCATCAGAAATCATTATAGTGATAGATTAATAAATATATAGATTGATAGAAAGATGGATAGATAGAGAGTTGTATAATGTATATATATTTATATCAATTATATAATAATGTCAAGTAATTTAGGTTCCCACGTTATTTATTAAATAAGTAGGTGTGGCCAAATTAAAATTTATCAAAATGAAATAAAAAATGTTGTATTTAAAAAGATACAAAGAAAACCTCAAAACAAGTAAAAAAATATAAGTTTCTAGGCTTTTTACATATCTGAATTTTTTCTAATACAATTCACATTTTTTCTTTTATAAGAGTTGAGTTTTAGTGCAACAAACTCAAATTTTCTAATCTTTGCAACCTAACTGTGTAAACCTTCGATATTTCAAACTCAGAATACTTGATCTAACAGACTTCATAGTTTGAAATATTAAAATCATACTAAAATCATACTTCGTATATTCACATAATCTTAAACCACAAAATGTCCAGTAGTATCTCATGAATCAATGATTACATAATTCAGTAGAAACAGGTCAAATATTATTGCTTTAAAGATAATATGTTTAGAATATAAAAGAAGATCTTAAGTTAGAATCCTCAGTATCAGCATAACCTTAAACATATACAAAAGTCCAGAGCCGCATTTACAATATTGGAGGACTCAATATACAAAAGTCCAGAGCCGCATTTACAATATTGGAGGATTCAATACTAAGCTGCTATTGAGACTAATTTAAGACACGAGCTTGGGAAAAGTTGCAATTATTTTTCTAGAGAGTTTGATTTATTAAGCTGGTCTAAAATTGTATTTGGTGAATTTTCATGATTGGATTTAATTTCGGGATGTGATCAGAATTAGACTGAACATTGAGACTAATTCTTCATAAACCCAACCAAGGTTGGTTTTATTTTCACTGGGCCTAACTCTGTAAGTCGAGTCTAAGAGCTCAAAAAGTGTCAATCACGTGACACAAACTGTCGTCAAAGTTGGATAATGAAGCCTTGAAATGAAAAACGAAAAGTGGTTAAAAACTAGTTCTTAAGTGCATTTTCACCACTATGATTTTTTTTATGTAAGTTTAAACACATTTTTTTTTGCTATATTCACATATTCATAACAGAAAAAAATGATTCGCTCTGAGGGGTTGGAACCCAATAGTGAAAAGTTTCATGAAATAACTTACAACGTTGAACCATACATTAATAGAATTAAAAGATCATGCAAAAAAGGTAAAATTATTGGGCTTTGAAAGTTCTGAGAAACATAATAATTTTTGCATCTTTTAGTTATTTCAAATCTTACATTGGAGCCAGTCTTGTTCTTCATGTCCTTCGTGGGTTCCATGGACTCAGCCTCAGTTTCCCAACTACTCATTGATAAATCATGTAATATCGACTTTGACTTCCCCGAGGGGGTCTGCGATGATCTTCTAAGCGATAACAATACAGCTTCTAATGATTTGGTATCTGACGAAGTGGCGCAGTTTAAGGTAATTATATTTAAGTTATAGAGATTTGTGACAATTTTTCAAAATTTTACCAAAAAAATCTAGGTTTATGAGAGCATTGTTGATCATCTTTTCCCAATCATTGTCTCCTTTTTCCTGGGAAGCTGGAGCGATACTTTTGGAAGAAAAGTCATCCTCTACGTCTTCTTTACATTCAGGTAAATCAATATCAAGAATAAATTTCAAAACTATTATACCTTGCTTTAAACTGGCCTGTTTTTGCTTCCAGATTATAAAATGTCAACACCGTTAAAACTTTCCCAATGTAAAATTTGATATTGAGCTTGGAGCTGTTGCATTTTAAATATCACTATCTCTCGCAGTTGTAGACATATGCAAATCACACATGACTGTTTCAATACTAAAACCTTATCACATTGAGTCTAGTAGCAACCGCCCGATGCATTGAAGACATTTTTTTAATGCCATAAGCAAGCATGTGCTGTTCTTTTAAGGACTAATTGGGTTTGAACCATATCCAAATAACAGGGGTGTGTGTTACAGTAAAGTTTGAATGATAATGGTATATTTATGGAAGGAAATAAATTTTTAAACTTAAGTAATTTCTTGTTACTAGGTTGGTAGAGGGAAGCTTTCTTCTTCTCAATGCCTACTTCATGGAATGGCCAAAAGAGTATCTTTTGTTTTCAGTAAACCTTCCAGGTAGAAATATCTTAAAGTTTTATTTATCCAGTAAATAACGTGAATAACCAAATTTTTATTCTAGTTGCATTGTCCGGAGGTTACCTTGCTTACTCTATGGGAATAAATGCCTTCATTGCTGACATATCAAAGCCTGAACAACGTAGCTTCAGAATGGCAATGATTCATTTTGTTTCCTCCCTAGGCAGGCCATTTGGGACTCAAATTGGAGCTGTGCTTTTTGAGCAAGGAGGATATGTCTGCGTTATCGGAGCAACGTTGCTGGGAAGACTTGTAAGTTTTGGGCTTCTGATCCTAAGTCTGGAGATGTTTAAGTGGAGTCCTAAGAAAAAAGAAGAGGAATCTGATGAGCCAATCAGGAAAAAACGTCATCATGCTCTTAGCCCATCTCACATCATCGATTCTCTTAAAACGGCTGTTAAACCAAGGTCTGATGGAAAGAGATTTTACCTGTGGGTTTATCTTCTTGTTATGATTTCAATGGTACTTCCATGGTTTGGTGAATCAGTAATTGGGTATCTGTATGTACGAAAGCGTTATAATTGGGGAGTACAGGAATACAGCGACTTCAGAACAGTTTCTGAGGTTTTAGACATTGTTGGACAAGCCATATTCATACCTGTCCTTGGAGTTTTACAGATCAAAGATTCGCTAATTATTCCCATCTTACTTTCAACAGTCATAGCCCGAGATTTTGTTAAAGGCTTTGCTGAGACATCATGGCTTTACTATTTTGGATCTGCTATAAATGTTATGGGAGGATACTCTTTTGCCGCTTGTAGATCTATTATATCAAAGTGTGTTGAAAGCCATGAACTTGGGAAAGTGTTTGCTCTACTAGCTGCCCTAGAATCCTTAGTACCTATTGGTATGTCTCAAGCTTATGCATCAATATGGGCTCTTACTTCTGTTCTTGATTCCCTTTGGGTTGGATCAGTGTTTTTCCTATCTGGTGCTATTACAAGCATATCTTTGATTCTCTCCCTTATCTCCCTGTTATCCTTGAAGGGAAGAGCAATCTCTGATCTCGGAAAGGCATCTACCAGCTCTGATCTTGATGCAAGACCAATTAAAAGGCCACATTACAGGTATGGCAAATCTATCAGTTCTTGTAAGATAAATTTTTAAAATGTTAAGATTTATATATTTAGCATGATAATCAGAGGGCAACCACTGGAGAGACGTGTAGCTACTGGAAACTGGACTCTACCACCACAAATAAGACCTCATTGGGACACCTTCGACTGTGCTGATTGTGTAGAGAGTACTGATAGCTCTGAGACCAATTCATCTGAAGAATATTCAAATTCACAAAACCTTGAGTCAGTGAAAACCATTTCTGGAGAGATTTCAAAATAAGTTTTACAAATGTTTTCATCTGTTCATTCTTTTAAACTCATGAGATAAAAAAAGCAAAATTTAACCAAATATTTTCAATCATATTTCTATGTAATCTTAGTATTTCAATTCTCAGACAGATAAACGTATTTTATTTAAATTGTGACATGAATCATTGAAATATTTGAATGCCTCCAGCTCCTGCTTTTGTTTAATTTGTACTATTTCACAATTTTAAATAGGGTCACACTATCTTGGTTCAACGATACAAGATTATCTTGAAATTCAAGACAGTTTATGTGGTCAAATAATTTTATGTAAATATCACTTATTATTAAATGACTTTTGAAATAAATTATTTTTATAATTAAAAGCTTACATCATTAAAGTAGTTTACTATATAATCGTTAATAAGTAATTCAGAGTGAGTGTTTGCGAAAAATGAAAAGAGGTATATGTTGGACCCACGCACCTCTCACCCTTTAGTAAAAGTAAATTAAACTTAAATTCTGACCGCGTCAACCTTGTTGCACCGGCTAGTCCTATTTTGTGTCTGCTTTATTTACCCAATGTCCGGGCGATACAGTACAAACTGGGACCGGAAAGGTTGACCCGGCTTGGAAATTCAAATGTACTACGACTGCCCGTGGACCACGCATACATCTATTTTCATTTCTTTGATGTGACTTTTTGCCTTTAATAAGACAAATTTCAGCCAATTTCTGAATATTATTCTTCAGTAAGTCACTTCTTTTAATTCAACCAGTTGAAGTTATAACTTAACTTTTCCAAACGAAAAATTTACTTATTTAAATTTCTTTTTTGTATTCTTAAAAATCGTTGATGAAGCTCATTAAAGGATCATATAAAATACATTGACTATTCTTTACAGTTTTAAACATTTTATCAATTTTTCTAACTAAAGAAGAACATGGCCTGACTGCAGACATAAGTTTAAAAGTACTGTAGACATAAATTCATGTGACCCGACATGTTTTTAGCGACATGGCCGTCTGATCGCGGCTACCTTTCAACCTTTATCTGAGTATTGAGTCGTTTTCTATCTTTAAAAGAGTGTTATATTCTGAAAATTCCCTTCGTTGTCTTTGTTGACCAAAACCACAAATCAATTTCACAGATATATATACAGATATAAGGGTACCGTTGTGAATTAGACATTCCACTTCATACATTTTTAATTACTTGAAATTCGTTCTTGTAAAACTAAGTATAAGTTTAACATATATAGTATATACTACAGAACATATATAGTATATACTACAGAACATATATTGTATATACTACAGAACATATATAGTATATACTACAGAACATATATAGTATATACTACAGAACATATATAGTATATACTACAGAACATATATAGTATATACTACAGAACATATATAGTATATACTACAGAACATATATAGTATATACTACAGAACATATATAGTATATACTACAGAACATATATAGTATATACTACAGAACATATATAGTATATACTACAGAACATATATAGTATATACTACAGAACATATATAGTATATACTACAGAACATATATAGTATATACTACAGAACATATATAGTATATACTACAGAACATATATAGTATATACTACAGAACATATATAGTATATACTACAGAACATATATAGTATATACTACAGAACATATATAGTATATACTACAGAACATATATAGTATATACTACAGAACATATATAGTATATACTACAGAACATATATAGTATATACTACAGAACATATATAGTATATACTACAGAACATATATAGTATATACTACAGAACATATATAGTATATACTACAGAACATATATAGTATATACTACAGAACATATATAGTATATACTACAGAACATATATAGTATATACTACAGAACATATATAGTATATACTACAGAACATATATAGTATATACTACAGAACATATATNGTCTACTGTATAAGATGATATCTACTATATGTAGACTAGTCTACTGTATAAGATGATATCTACTATATGTAGACTAGTCTACTGTATAAGATGATATCTACTAGTTCTTGTCTCCGAACTGTTCTGATAAATGAGAAGATATGCTCTATAATCACCTCACCTACCCTCTCCTACCCTCAATCACACCATGTGTTAGGGGCAACAATACACTGGGGGGGGGATGAAGGGTACATATTTAAAAACAATTTCACCATTTATGATTTTTTTCGTCACTCATGAAAATTTAATATAAACGTATAATCCCCCTATATTGATTGTATTAAGTGTATTTAAAGTCCCTGAGTGGCTAACACACTCCAACCCTTGCATTCATTGTTTAGACCCATTCATTTAGATTTAGGTTTAGAATAACCAGATTAGAAGAGTAAAAAGATAACACATCTGACTATATAATAATATAAGCATCCAATTCAATTCGTTTATACAGTTTCACTTATATCTAAACTATGAAACTATTAAAAACTATTAAAGTTACTTAATCAAATTTATAGACAGCCTTGACTATCAAGCGTCCCGTTGGCTTTTGCTTTGGTTTTACCTCACAAAGTCACTTATTTTGAAGGCCTAGGTTTATACATTTTAAAACTGCTAAAAGCTTTAAAACAGCTAATTTTAAAAATGAGTAAATGGCAAAATATAAAAGAAAAATATTTTATCCGACAAATCACTGAGTAAAGCTGAAGAAATTCAAATCATTAGTGACCTAAATATTAGTCTGCTGAATCACACTTCTCACAATGCTAAATCTAACTTTTTAAACACCCTGTTAACACATTCACTTCTCCGCTAATTACACTCCCTATACGTATTACTCAATTATCTGCAACATTACTAGATCACATATTTAGTAATTCAGATCCTGAGTCAAGAGAATTTGGAATCATCTACTCAAGTTTATCTGACCATTTACCCGTTTTTTCATTGTTTAAATGTACACAACATGAAAATAATATTGGTAGCAAACCAGTTCTAATTAGAAACACTTCAATCGAAAATAAAACCAAGTTTAAGGAAAAATTGTTACTCAATGACTGGACTCATGTTATGATAAATGAAGATCCTTCTACAGCCTTTTCTGAATTTTCTAACACTTTAAATAATATTTATGAAGAAAGCTTTCCATTTATCAAATATAAACCAAACAAAAATAAAAATTCTGTTAACCCTTGGTTCACTTCCGCCTTGCTAGTGTCAAGAAAACAAAAAGAAAAATTATTTAAGAAAAAAATCCTGAATCCAACTACAAACAATTTAGAAACTTTTAGAAAATATAATTCTGTTTATCGCACAACAATAAAAAAGGCCAAGACTAGTTATTTTTCTTCAAAATTTACAGAATACTCAAAAGACATCAAAAAGACCTGGTCTTTACTGAACTCTATTATATCTTCTAAGAAAAAAAGTCATTCAGTTCCTGATATTTTCACTGATGATGAAAAAAGTTTTGTGGGATCTGCTGAAATAGCAGAGGGTTTTAATGACTTTTTTGTGAACATTGGACCCAGATTGTCTAGTTATATTCCGGATTCTAATGTTAATTTTGAAACATATCTGAANGAATGTAGATAGCCTTCCAAAAAGATGAGACTTGAGACATGTCTGAATATGAAATACTGCGTGAGAGTGGTTTGCAGTGGTTTCCCTCCAAAAAGATGAGACTTGAGACATGTCTGAATATGAAATACTGCGTGAGAGTGGTTTGCAGTGGTTTCCCTCCAAAAAGATGAGACTTGAGACATGTCTGAATAGATTTCTTAAAATTCTTCTTTATTAAATTTTATGGTTTGTCTCGGATGTGTGATATTTTGTTTTCTTAATTGTTTTTATAATTTAAAAAATACATGATTTTATTTCATGCAGAAGTTTGTTTAACACTCTTAGTTATAATTTGAGGAACGGAATTATAGTTCACAAAAAAATGAGAAATTCCGGAAACCACATTCCAAAGGGAAAAACTCTGGAAAGTTATTAAAATAATGGCAGAGGACAATTTCCTTGTCTTCAGTAAAACCGACACATTCAGTCCGGCCCTAACCTGTTCTAGCCACAGCGCTCGGCACTTCTTGTTTGTCTTGTTAATTGTCTTATACCAGAGTTTGTCCTTTTTCGGAAATTGTCCTGTTGTGCCTGTTTTTTGTAAGATTGAAAATATCTTTATCTAACACAACAAAGACACACTTTTACAAAGATAAACTTTTTATAATTTTATTAATAAACAACAAAAAAACAGGTTTTGAACATGTGCTTCAAGCAAACAAGAAATCAATTGAATAATGAAGAACCATGAGATCTCTCTAAACCCGGTTTCCAGAGATAATTTTGTGTGCTATTTTCTGTTCTGCTCCTATTTATTATGGGAGGGGGTTGACCCCCCAACCGTATTTGAGCAAGGAAGCTAAAATTTTCTGACTTTTCTAACTAACAGATGCCCATCACTTAAGGCTAAAGCTGCGATTTTTTAGCTACTGCTTTATTCTACCTATACCAGACGAAATCTATATTTAGATTTAAAATTCGGCGATGGTGATTTTTTAAGTAAAAAAGTAGATTTTAGTTCCACATTTATTGAAAATATATTTCGGTCTGGGATGACCCTCGTCAGTTCTAACGATATAATAACCATCAAATCGATAAAAAAAAATTTAAAAAATTTGTTAAAAATCACAAGAAAATAAACAAACAAAAAAGATTATTCAAAATAAAAATTTGGGCTGTCAAATGGACATAAGGGAAACGAAAAGTGATTATGAGATGGAAAAAAAAGATAATTTGGAAATATTCACTTTTAAAAGAAATGTTTTAAGACAATTATTATTCCTTGAGATTGTTTCTGTTNTCCTTGGTGGTTCCTGTCTATCCTTATATACAATCTTTGGTGGTTCCTGTCTATCCTTATATACCATCCTTTGTGGTTCCAATCTATCCTTATATACCATCCTTGGTGGTTTTTATCTATCCTTATATACCATCCTTTGTGGTTCCTTACTATCCTTATATACTTTCCTTGGTGGTTCTTATCTATCCTTATATACCATCCTTGCTGGTTCCTATCTATCCTTATATACCATCCTTGCTGGTTCCTGTCTATCCTTATATACCATCTTTGGTGGTTCCTTTCTATCCTTATATACCATGCTTGGTGGTTCCTGTCTATCCTTATATACCATTCTTGGTGGTTCCTGTCTATCCTTATATACCATCCTTTGTGGTTCCTGACTATCCTTATATACCATCCTTTGTGGTTCTTATCTATCCTTATATACCATCCTTTGTGGTTCCAATCTATACTTATATATCGTCCTTGGTGGTTCTTATCTATCCTTATATACCATCCTTGGTGGTTCCTGTCTAT